TTACCACGAACCTTCACAGCTGGAGGCAGAACCATATTGATTGTGAGGTCAGAGAGAATCATTCAGTAGTAGTAACCCCGTTGTTTTGTAATAGGTCTTCACACCTATAATGTCTGTCTGTCTGTCTGTTCGTCTGTCTGCCCCATAATTTTTCAACCAGTAAGAAACTAGTAACAAAACTCTCTCTCTCTCTCTCTCTGGTTGTGGAGGAGGACGTTGCTACTTGTTCTAATACTTAAGGTGCTCCTGTTTCCCGCTTGGGGCGTGTGTGTGTGTGTGTCCATCTCAGCTGCTCTGGTTCAGCTACACCAGAGAGGAGATGTTATGTTGATTGTCCTGGGTGTTTTTAACTATATTCTGTGTCCGAATAATAGAACGACTGTGTTTTTGTATTTAATGAGAGCCATTTAGCTATGAAAGGCTGTGTACTTAACTGTATGTTTGTAGTGTGTGTGTGTGCGCTATATACTGTATATGTGGGGGGGGGGGTTTGTGTGTATGTATGTGAGTAAAAAATAATACAAAACTCACTTATACTCGTACAACAACCATTAAAGCTGGTGAATATTCCCTTAAAAATGTAATATATATTTTGTTAACAGTTATTAGATACACAGTGTGAAATAAAGCACATAGTATCGACTGTGGTTCTTGTGACGGTCAACAAAGGCGAGGGTGTGGTGGTAGGGTATGGTGATAGGGTGGGTGGTGACTGGGGAGTGTGGAGCAGCTGTTCACCTTGGAGAAGCCCGAGACCACACACACACACACACTCACACACACACGTATATACAGCGACACCCTCACACAGTTTTTAAAAACATTGACAAGACAACTAAAGGGATCCATTGGACGTTCTAACCTAACCCTAACAACTTAACCTAACCTAACCTACACCTAACCTAACTGAACTAAGCCGGGGTGGAAAGGTTCAACGTCCGAATGAAACCTTTGTAAATCCAACTGAGACGAGAAGCCTTTATACTGGATACGTTCTAACATCTCCAGCAGGAAAGGGTGGAGGGAGGAGGCCTACGAACTCTTGAGAAGCCATTGATATATCGTAGCTCAAATGTGTGTGTGTGTGTGTTATACGTTCACACTTAGGGTAAAAAGAACAATAACAAGAAGAACAACGAACATAACCTTGAAGAGTCCTCTGTGTCTTGAGGCAGAGATGAGAAGCCTTCCAGCACCTCACCATTCCAGTCATAACTATTACCCTTACCTCACTGACCCAACCTATAACCTAACCTAAACTAACCTAACCTAACCTAACCTAACCTAACCTAAACTAACTAACTAAACCCAACATAACCTGACAACATACTTTGATTACATAATTTGGTTATAATTCGATATTAAAATAGCCTCAGAACGTGTTGTTATATACTCGACCACACAGAACAGGTTTAACGTTGTGTGGTGTTAAGTGATATGATGGTGGGGCTTGGTTGTGATGGGGTCTGTGGCAGCAAGCATTATTTTGGACTAAGTTTGATGATATAGTTGGGTGGTCTGTGTGTGTGTGTGTGTGTGTGTGTGTGTGTGTGTGTGAGATAAATATTATAAAGTTCTCGGCTATGATTCACTGCTTCCTGTCTCGTATCCCCCTCTCTCAAGCTTTCTCTCTCACTCCATGGTTAAGCTTAGTTGATAGTACTTGATGTGTCTGGGAGGGAGAGAGGGGGATTTCCGGTAAAAGATCCGGTAATTGTAATGAATCCGGTATAGAGAGGGATATAATTATGTTAGTGAAAGGGTGATGGTATACATACATACATACATTCATACATACAGTACACACACACACAGTGGAAAGGTATACATCACTTTTTATACTTTTATGTTGCGTCATATACATAATGCCCTCTGACGCTGGAGATCCATCCTGCACTTTGGTCTCTGTCTGGTACGGGATCTTGGAATTATATTTGAGGAAAAATAAATAACATTCGTGGAAATTTTATTCATTTATGCTATATAATCTGAGAATTATCAAGAAACAATAATTTTCCTCCGTTTTTTTCACTTACCAGAAGTTGGTGGAGGAAAGTCTAGGTCTGGATCGAACGGCTTTAGTAGTCGTATGATGTAATATAGAGAGTGTTCGTGTGTAGTTGTCACAGTGGGTCGTGTCCCCTCTACAGCTGCTGCCAGTGTTCGTGTGTAGTTGTCACAGTGGGTCGTGTCCCCTCTACAGCTGCTGCCAGTGTTCGTGTGTAGTTGTCACAGTGGGTCGTGTCCCCTCTACAGCTGCTGCCAGTGTTCGTGTGTAGTTGTCACAGTGGGTCGTGTCCCCTCTACAGCTGCTGCCAGTGTTTGTTTATAGTTGTCACAGTGGGTCGTATCCCCTCTACAGCTGCTGCCAATGGTCGTGCGTAATTGTCACAGTGGGTCGTATCCACGTGCGTAGTTATCACAGTGGGTCGTATCCCCTCTACAGCTGCTAGTGGTCGTGCATTGAGTACACAATATTACAGTGATGGACAGGTAAGGTGGACCACATCACAGGCTTCTGGTTATATGCATGGCACGGTGAGCGGGGTGATGCATCAGCTGGGCGTGTCAGCCTGTAAACAACAACAGCACACGCCCTTGTCGCGTCAGGGACCATTGAGTTAGTGGGTGGGAGAGGGACCCTGAGTTAGTGGGTAGGAGAGGGACCATGAGTTTGTGGGTGTAGGTGGATGGGAGAGGGACACTGAGTTAGTGGGTGTAGGTGGGTGAGAGAGAGGGACCCTGAGTTAGTGGGTAGGAGAGGGACCATGAGTTTGTGGGTGTTGGTGGGTGGGAGAGGGATCCTGAGTTAGTGGGTGTAGGTGGGTGAGAGAGAGGGACCCTGAGTTAGTGGGTAGGAGAGGGACCATGAGTTTGTGGGTGTTGGTGGGTGGGAGAGGGATCCTGAGTTAGTGGGTGTAGGTGGGTGAGAGAGAGGGACCCTGAGTTAGTGGGTAGGAGAGGGACCATGAGTTTGTGGGTGTTGGTGGGTGGGAGAGGGATCCTGAGTTAGTGGGTGTAGGTGGGTGAGAGAGAGGGACCCTGAGTTAGTGGGTGTGCCTGTAGGTAGGTAGGTGGTGGTAGTGACCAGCAAACGGATACAATATGGTACCTGAATAAGGGAAGACGGCGGTGCCCTTGCAACAGTCATCAGTAGTTAAGTATGTCACCTCATGCATTTGGATCAGGTAACCAAGACCTTCAACCCCACGTACAGTCTCCTTCACTAGTGCGTTTACAGGAGCTCGTCAGGTTTTATGCAGTGTGGCAGCGTTTAGTTTGTTTACATTCGACAGAAGAAAACTCGCAATAGTAAACATATTATGGAATCATATTAAAACAATATTAAAGCAAATATCTCCATGTAATGATTTGTGGAAGGTTTATATGATGAGCTCCTGTAAACGCACTAGTGAAGGGGGCTGTACAAGTGTGTCTGTGTGTGTGAACTGAAGAAAGAGTTTTGTACTGTAGTCTTAAAAGGTTGAATTACGGGCATTAGAGGTCTTGATTGATGGTCCAAAGGTTCGTGTTGGAGGTGTGTGTCTGAGCACAGGATGTATAACAAGGCCAACATTACCATCCTCTGACTCAGGGTTGGTGACCTTGATCTTAAACGATTAAACTTGATCTTCATGACCTCTTGTGGAGCATGATACACTTAACATGACCTCTTGTGGAGCATGATACACTTAACATGACCTCTTGTGGAGCATGATACACTTAACATGACCTCTTGTGGAGCATGATACACTTAACATGACCTCTTGTGGAGCATGATACACTTAACATGACCGCTTGTGGAGCATGATACACTTAACATGACCTCTTGTGGAGCATGATACACTTAACATGACCTCTTGTGGAGCATGATACACTTAACATGACCGCTTGTGGAGCATGATACACTTAACATGACCTCTTGTGGAGCATGATACACTTAACATGACCTCTTGTGGAGCATGATACACTTAACATGACCTCTTGTGGAGCATGACGATACGAGTTTTCTACGAGTTGTGGATAATATTTTTTTTACAGTGGTTGGGGTTGGGCTGTTATAGTGCTCATTAGTAGGTGGTCGTGAGACGTGCTGGAGATCACGGTGGAAGCCTGAGGGCAGCGGGGCAACTTGCAGTGTCATTCGTGGAAGAGTGAGAGCATGTGGTATACCCCGCCAGTGGCCTAGTGTAGTCCTCGTCTCTTACATAGAAAACGACAGATGGTGCCGGTGTGGTGGGGGCAGGGAGGGGGGGGGTGATCCTGATAAGTGGAACGCAGTAAATCACAGTAATGGTGGACGTGACTACTGAGGGAGAGAGATGTAGGTAGTGAGAGTCGGGCGGTCACTGTAACGGAATAAGGTGTTGGACCAAGTTATCCTAAGGTCTTAATGTGTGCTGTTTGTCGGCAGTGACTCGCATATAATAAGTCTTATCAGAATCATAAAGTCGATTATCGTGTCTTAGTTATATTTGAAACAGTTTGTGATGTAGAGACCAAATGGAAATATATTGTAAATTCCTGGTTACGTCACTGATTGTAAACAGCATTCATTATTATTTAACTTTGATGTATTCACAGATGGTGCAATACTTCACCTGTGTGGGGTAGGTTGTGGTGAGGCGCCGCGCTATATCAGGTGTCTGTCTGTCTGTGATGGAATATCTCCCTCAAGTTAACATCTTTACTTGTATAACACGTCGCCTCGTAGTTAAGGACGGGAGAGACGTGTTCTCGGGCTGTCTATTCCGTCAAGGATATAATTATTTACTCATTAACAATTAAACATTTTAATAATAATAATATTAAGCATTAGGGAGATCAAAGGTTGTATAAAACATTATACAACAAGAGTCTCTTTGTCAAAGACCAAAGATATTAATATTTGGCTCACCTGAAGACCCCCCGTAGCGCTACCTGGAGGGGGGTTCTTCTGGTGGTCCTGTTATTGAAATCGTAAAATACTAACTAATTAATATTTTGCAATAGTCATCTGCTTTCAATACACTGACATATTACTCCATCGTTGATGGTTAACAGCTTTTGTTCCCTAATATAATACATGTACTGTAGGGTGATGAGTGTTTGTCCAGGCACCGTTATGGAGACACCCACGTGGGCCACCTTCCACTGACTGCTGGGTCCGGTTGACCACATTCTGATTCAGATTCAGGTTTGTCCCGCGAGAGGGCTATTTTATTTGGCACCCCCTTGCATCCTGTGCAAGGCTAAGCTCAAAAGCGTTTACAGCGCCCAACTGCGAAGCACGCCGAGTTCATGCTTGTCTTCTTGACTAATGCATTAAGGACGGAAGTGCCTGAAGGAACTGTCCAGAAGGGCCGACCAGAGGACTCAGGTTAACCGTTTTGTTCACAATCCCCAGAGCTGTGTATGTATATAAATTGCATATTGCGTGCGTATAACACTGTGGCAGCGTAGAATAGCTAATGTTTATTGTTATTAATAGTTTAATATGAAATTGTCCTCGTGTGCAGTAAGACAATTACCACGACGTCACACATCCGTTGCATCAGCTGATTCCCAAACAAAACCCACCTTGCATCAGGAGGGAATATTCGTTGAAGTCTCTGGTGGGGTATGGCAGGGGCCCCCCGGGGGGATGGGCGTCCTCGTGGTCGGCAGGCAGCTGGCAGCACCAGACAAGAGACCAGACGTCTCCTTGCGCACATCCTGTACATACGGGTCGACGCAGGCTCTGTCATTCATACCCATTGTTGTGATTGTGTTCCTGCCTGTCCGCTTAACTGGCACAAGATCTACGACTACCTATTCCAGGGTTTAAGCAGCGAAGTGTGTTAGTGATTCAGGGTGTGCATTTTGTCCTTTGTGTAGTGAGTGAGACTGTAACATCACACAAGCAAGACCCACATAACAGCTGGGCGAGCCAGGTGAGTCACTCAGGTGGAGAAACAATATCTATATTTTCAAATTGTTTTCTCGACCTGGCAATATGACGCGGTGTAGTTTTACCATAGTGAAGTTTAAGGTGCGATGTGTTTTAAGTGCATTATTAACGGGTTTTAGAGGCGAGTTAGTCATCACCTTTGTCGTGATATTCATGACACGCTTGGTACATTCCTCACCACGTGACCCTCAACCACGGCTATAGTTCAGTCACATACTACCATTCTCAGCCAGTGTGTTTCACACCACACCCAGCTGGCTTTCTCCATGCCGCCGCAGCCAGCTGGCTTCTTTCAAGTCGCTGCAGCCAGCTTAGCTTCCTCCATGTCACCACAGCCAGATGGATTATGCTGGATATTACCATGATCTTCAATATTTTAGGATAACGGAAAAATGGCAGGTAACTGTTATTTTTAGTTTGTGACTAAAGCGGTGAAGGAGACCGAGACAACTGCATTTCTCTCTCACGTTTTCCTAATAATAACTGTCATGTTTAGCCTAATACTTGTTAAGTCTCCCTCGGTCATCCCTTCGTTACAGTATGCTAGCGTCCTAAACTGCTTAAAATTCAGGTGCTGCTCTTCTCCCCAGTCCAAGATAGGATGTACAAACGTGGCGAAATAATTGTGGCCCGTACATCTCTCAAATGGGACGAAATCATTGCTTGTGTACAGAGAAATAACCGTTGGTCTTACCGGTACCTCGCCTCCCCCTCCCCGGGATGGGCTGTACCCCCTCCCCGGGATGGGCTGTACCCCCTCCCCCTCCTCGGGATGGTATGCACCCCTCCCTGCTGTAGGCCCTGTCAATGACCTTGTCAATCTTGTCACCGAGGGTCTTTAAAAATTATATTAGAGTCTGGTAAATAATTTTAAGGCCCTTCCCGTTGATTTAAATGAACTTATTGTCATTTCCACTCGTGAGAGATATACTTGAAACTGGTATACTTGACTGCTAAGCTGGGTGCTCGTGTGGTGTAGAGTTCTTCGATAGTGAGCCAATCCTAACCTAGCGCCTCCCACAGTCCCACATCCTCAGTATCATGTTGAATCTTGTGTGGCGGGAGGTGACGTCACGTTTCTACCCCTTTCCTTACCTAGACCCAGTTGAAAATTATATATTAATTCCGCTCTTGTTAAAATTATGCTGTTTATATTTCGACTAAATAATATTTAGTAATAACCAAAATATCAACGAAAAGATAAGCTGATAAGTGGTTGAATGATTAGCTCCAGGAAGTTCTTTCACTCTCTTTAACACCCCCCCTCCCCCCGATGAGTCAGGCCTTCAACTTGGCCTGGATAGGATATTTTTAGCTGATTTATTTTTTTGTGATACGTACACATCTTGGACCTGTTGTGTTTATAGAACATGTGACCATCTGGCTGCAAAATATCAGTCCACAAGTATTAGTTGACAACATACCGGTATTATATTAGAGTTGATGGATGGATGATGGTGGATCTATCAACTGTAGTGAGTTTAACAGTTTATATTATCAAAGGCAAACCACCACAAGGGGCTTTGTTGGAGAAACTTTGTTGAATTAAGGTGTGGGCGTCAAGTGTGAGTTTCTTACTGGCAGTTCTCTCTTACCTACAGTATATCTGTTTCTTGTGGGAGACTTAGGAACTACTGCCTTTAATTAACTTGTAAAAACAGTCAATATTCAGTTGAGAACCATTAGCTCTCAAACATAGCTGGATTCTTTGACATAGATTGTGTGTCGGGATGAGTGTGGCGGGAAGGTTGCATAAGGAGTGAGTAACAGGACTGAAAAGTGTCTACGTGACAGTTGGCAGGTAAGCTACACAGTCTTACAAAACAAATGAAACACAATATGGTCTCCAGTACCCAGGCTTCGTAGAAGGTCGAAATATCCCATCGACTCGGGGAAATACCACACCGGATGTTTTATTTATTTTTTCTCTAGTAGTCTTTCGGTAGGTCACTCACTCCCAGCAAGATTCTGGCTCGTTCGAGTGAATAAACTTGTTCCTTCAGACCTTCTTCTAACGTGACAGTTATCTTGTGAACCTTTATTAAGGGAAGATGAATGGCAGAGGAAAATTTGTTCTCATTCATTTTATTTAGGTGGATCATGACTTGTTTGTTTTGTGGATATACTTGTATATGCTTGAGAGTTAAGGCAGCCGTTGGTTTAAGTGTGTTTTGGTACCACTGAATGAAGCTGTGGGATAAACATATACATACTCGGGGTAGGCAAGTGTGTGTGTGTGTGTGTCTGTGTGTGTCTGTGAGAGGAAGCGATCACCAGCCAGCTAGTAAATAACACGCATGACATCTGGAAACTAAAAAAATGTGATATAAGTTTAATTAATGTATTAAATTACAATATTTTTAGTATATTATTATATATATTGTAAATTTGACCTTTTGACCTACTTAAACGTATTTTTCCCCTACGGATATAGTGAAAGACTGACCTCTTCCCCCCGCCCCCGGATGTAGTGACTGCTCTCCCCCCCGGATATAGTGACGTCTCCCCCCCGGATATAGTGACGTCTCCCCCCCGGATATAGTGACGTCCCCCCCCCCGGATATAGTGACTTACGTAATCTCATCTCCGAAACACACATTAATTCCTGGCTATACTTGTTTACGTGTTCTTGGTATTATACGAGTATATTTTTTTAGAGCGAGTTTGTGTCTGTTTGGGTTACAGGTAAACAACGCCGGTTTGTTTGTCGCATATTTACAGGTAAACCGCAGCACACATAATAGGTTTCTCCTGTGTGTTTACCTTGCTAGATGTACTTGGTATATCCTAAATAGCATTGAGTGTTGAGGAGATGCTAGTTGTAGAGGATACCACTGTCCAGTCCACTAATACGTTGCTCTGGGTTTCCTGCCCCGGATGTTACAGTAATCCACTTAAGTTCGTTTTTAAAAGATCGCATTAAAACGTTCCGTGTAAAGATCTCATTAAAACGTTCCGTGTGAAGATCTCATTAAAACGTTCCGTGTGAAGATCGCATTAAAACGTTCCGTGTGAAGATCGCATTAAAACGTTCCGTGTAAAGATCTCATTAAAACGTTCCGTGTAAAGATCTCATTAAAACGTTTCGTGTAAAGACCTCATTAAAACGTTCCGTGTGAAGACCTCATTAAAACGTTCTGTGTAACGATTACAAACATAAATACATACCCACATTTATTGAGTGAATTAGACTTGGAGACAGCTAGAGTACGTGTGTGTGTGTGTGTGTGTGTGTGTGTGTGTGTGTGTGTTATGAATCAGAAGTCCGCGAGCTACACCACATCTCCCAGCATATTAGAACACCCTGCACCGCTGATGTCAGAAACGTGCACCTTGAATGATGATGCGTATTAGTCGGTGATTGTCTGTGATGTGAATAAATTGTGGTGTCTCTTGGTGTACAAATATTTATACTTAGAAATACAACGACGTGTAGATCTGTTGCTGTGAATAATAATCCACCGGTTAGTTTTGACATTGGGATTGTTAATAATTTCAGAAAGAAGTAGATGTAGTTGTGGGGTTTACTAAGTTAAATGTAGTTTATATTGTATGATCAGATATAATGGAATTGCCTGGTGACTGACACAAGGACAGACTCCCACATACAATAGATTGGAATTAACTGAGAGAAATATGTATCTATATGTTGAGTTTTGCTTATGTTTATTTTTTTGGGGGGTTGGTCAACAGAGAAACTATTGAGGAGCTGCACCATTACTTCACGTCCTACGCCTCGGGTGCCGCCAACTACCACTACTGGGTCCCCGGTCTCGTGTACCTCCTCCAGGATGCACCAGACAGCTGTACCGACGGCCGTGTGGCAGCGGAGGACCAACAAGATCATCGCTGCCGGCATCACCATAATCGGTCTCACCATGATGCTCTCGCTTATTCCCCAGTGCATATATATTGGTATCGTCTTCGTCACCTTTGCCCTCATGTGAGTATGGGTGAGAGGAGGGGTAGTGGAGGGTAGGTCATAGTGAGGGTGAGAGGAGGGGTAGTGGAGGGTAGGTCATAGTGAGGGAGGAGGAGTGTGGAGGGTACCTAGGTCATTGTGAAAAAAATTAATATTACTGATAAATTAGATTAATAGTGTTCCTCCTTTACGTGGAATACTGCTGCTGCTCGGCTTGGGGGGTTATCGATATTTATTTTAATTACTGGATTGAGAAACTCCCTTGCCAAGAGAGAATGTATCGTGTCCAGTTCACCAGTTTATAATATAGAAGAATAAAGAGTGTTTTAAGGGGGGGGGGGTGTATGGAGAGCGTTACTCATTTGTATATAACAATTAGCGGTTAGCGGCTCCACTGAAGGTCGTACACATACACACAAATAATTCTCAAAACTAACTTTGGAATGATCTACCAGCATGGTCTGCTTCAGGAGTGGACCAATTCCCAATGCACTACCTGGCAACAGACCGCCGGGCCGCACCGTGAAGATGATAAAAAAAAGAGTGAATTTGTTAATGTTAAGAGATAGTAATTACAGCTAAAGTAATTAATACCAACGTAATGATGGGCAGGAGTTGAGGTTGTATTTTGGCGTGTGACAGTCGTGTTCTCCCACAGCTGGCTCGGGTGGATGACCATGAAGGAGAAGAAGATAGAGCCCCCACGTCCTGAGGGTGAACATCCAGCCTCTCCTGTCCTGTTCCTCGTGGCCTCACACCATCTCCGTCAGGTGAGTACTGCCCTGCCCTGCCCTCCTCCGTGTTCCTCTGTGGATAAGGTTAAACATGACTCACACATCAGAGAAATCCTGCACTTTACACACTGCCCTACTTACATTCACCCACCTACTTACCTACTCACCCACCCATCCACTTACCTACCCACTCACCCATCCACTTACCCACTCACCCAGTAACCCACCTACCCACTCCCACACAGCGTTTCTCCCACAGAAGTAATTATCGAGGGGTACGTTTTAAGCTGGTGCAGGTATTGTGTTTTAAGAAACTGACTACGGCCCACTGGCAACTTACATCAGGTACTGGTGGTGATTACTGCACCAAGGTTCCTCTCCTGGTGATGATAAGGCACATTTGATTCACTTGACGAGAGTAATTTTCAGTATTGCAGGTGAGCCTCGGTGGGGTGGAGAAATCATTGGTATTGATGATTACAATTAGTTATTTAGCATTACTGTGCGTGGGTGTTAGCAGTGATTGTTTTAGCTGTTACGTTGTGGTTTATTTTTTCATGTTTTAGCCAGGACCTCTTCCGAAAACTTAAAATTAAATATTTAATTGTGCAGCCAGCGTCTCCCGACTTCCCTCGGGCGTGTGAAGACTCCTACAAGATCAAGGTCTCTTGCGCCCCTCTCCTTCCTCCCATACACCAGGATCCCACAGTTACTAAGGGACAGCGACCTTGGCTGGTGACGCTCGGTTAAACATGGCAAGGAGTGGCTGCAGTTATCCCAGGGTCGAAGGCAACATAGGAGCGGCCATTGTCCTAGGCTTGAGCAGAAATGCGTAAATTACTCCCCTGATTGTTTATTGCGCATTTGTTCTGAAAACCTTGGACGAGCAGTGTACAGGGACGACATAAGTTTATTTCATATTCTCAATCCACGACGCAGTTACTTCCCTTGAGTTGAAAAATAAAAATATTCAGGTATCGCGTCAACAATGGAGTCAAGCGAATAGCTGTACAGTACACCGTCCGAGTCTGTTATTTATGATGTACTCTGCTTAAAGTGTTATCATGTTAGGTTGCTATTCATTGGGCTCTTCAAACAAGGGTCACCTAACATTCACCAATTCGTCGAGCATTCATCTGTAATTAAGTCTTTAATATATACAGTATAAATTACAGAGACAAACGATTACACTGTTGAAAGTTTTTTGTACAGTATGATTTAAATTTGTTTTAGTTTGGATGTTGACTGAAATAGTGTGGAAATTTAGCCACATTCCACCACTAAGATACGTTATGTATGAATGAGTCATGTGATGGGCTGAGGGAGTGAAGGCGTGGAGGAGCAAGCTTGTAAGTGTACAGTACTTTATTAAGCAGCCATCCTCTATGAGGTAGGATGAGGCTGTTGCTGAGATTATTGTGGATTAAACGCTTGACATAGAAACAAAGATAATTAAAAAATATTAAACACGTCAGCTGTCTTTGATGACAAGGAGTGGCTGGGACGTGCCATATCCAGGTAACTTTTGAAGGGCTGCTACTGCCATACACCTGCAAGACCTTGACAGTGCTAGCCTGCCTCGACCCCCTCAGTCACACACACACACGGCCTCACTCTTTGTTATCAACAGGGTCTCGCCAGCTCACTTGTGTGCCCACCGGGTTATATATAAGTGCCTTTCCTCCTACCACACTGATGCAGTCAAGCACTCGCTTATAAGATTTCCCTGCTGAGAGTACTTACAGTACAGTAGGGCTTGTTGGTGACAGTTACGTTCGTTGTGTTGATATTACGTGATTATGATGAGTGGTGGTGGTGGTGGTAGGATGTGGGAATTTTTAGTAGCCAATTTGGTGGTGATTTAATGTTGTAAAGCTACAAAAGGGTCGTATATTGACAAATGTATTAGTGTGGTTGACTTGGTGGTAGTGCAGAGTATTGTCGGTATCGTTGATGAGCGAACAATTACCAAACCGTATGGTAGACGGGGTTTTGAAGACACTACATATATATATTTTGTTGCTTGGGTGTTAAAACTGAGTGGAAGTGCAAGGTAAGAAGGCTTGTGGTAGGGTGTGAGGGCGTGTCGTCCCGGTGTATTAGCCTAGCCCGGCGTGGCCTTGTGGAGGCGGGAGCACCTCAGCTCCAGTCGGTCAGTGGTCATGCGCAATAGCGCCGCGCCTCCGCCCTGCGAAAAAGTGAAGTTCAAATGGAAAATCTGTCTATAGACTTAATTTATCGAATGTTATTGCGAAAGGGTTTTCTACGAGTATCTTTGAATAAGGGTGGGGATAAATCGTACTTTGGGCGTTATTCTACATAAATAGAAGTAGATCTAAATCGTTATTTAGGACTATTTCATAGGTCTTGTATCTTTGGAGGACCAGGACGTACCGTACAGGTCCTGCACATTACATGACCATGTATCAAGGTACAGAAGGATAGGTAGCGTCATATCGGCTGGGTGAAAATTTTAGCAACATTTATACATGTCCAGACTCCTTTGTTCCTTTCCTTCCAGCATACATAAGTATTATTATGAGATCGTTTTTATATAAGGATTATACAAAACATTTACTTTACTATCATAATTGAATAATCAATTTATGTTTTCTTTGTGTCACCGGATTGATTATAGGCCTATGAACATGACAGTGATTTTTAACTACAGCTTTTTTTTTTACAGTCATCCCGAGGTCCAACTTTACCAGACCCCGAGGACAAACCTCCAACCTATGACCAGATTTTAAAGCTTGATGGCCTTCCTCCAGACTATTACTCCGTCCTCAGTGAGAAACCTCCCAGGTAACATCCATATTATTATTTTCACTTGAAATTCTCCGTCGCCATCCTTTCCCACAAGACTGACTGGGCATTGTGTAGTGTGTGTGTGTGGCCCTGTGTAACGGAATATATCGTCTGATATTTTATTTCAATTGGAAGCAGCCGATTATGTTACCCGACATGATGAAAGAAAACTTAATATCCTGTACTTGTATTACACACACACACACATACACACGATTTATATATATATATATATATATATATATATATATATATATATATATATATATATATATATATATATATATATATATATATATATATATATATATATATATATATATATATATATATATATATATATATATATATATATATATATATATATATATAATTGTTATTCTCAACAGATATGAAGACGTAAGTCCAGCTATGGGATGGGGCGCATGTGCACTGCCTACTGAGTTTTACACAACTGAGCTCCCATGTGTTCACACCACTACAGTTGGCTCATCTGTGCCTTTAGAAGTTGCTCTGCATCCAGAGTCTGCCTCTTCATTTCTTAATGAGTCTCCATCCTCCTGGTCAGCGCAGTCAGTCCTCTCAACCACTTATACTGCTGCCCAAAACCCAAGTTTTGCTAGTGACAACCCCAGTTTTCAGCCCACCGTAGAAGACGGTAATGTTAAAGATTTCCTGACCTATTTAGAGATAACCAAGGATAATGGGTCGTTTCAAGAAGAGAGAAGAGAATTTGGAAGAGAAGATGCGAACAAAGTAGATACAGAATTTAGTAATATTTGAGCTTCTATAACAATATTGATAGCTGGTTGCCCACAAAATCTGTTGGCTATGAGGCCGTCCTTCTGAATGATAAAAATGTTTTACACATCTCAATTTTTATTGCAGTGTGAATTATGGGAGTTCTCTTGTTATTTGTATGACTATTCTTTGTTTTCCTTGGTTATGCCCAGAGAAATTTTAGAATGGTGCTTCTTATATGCTTACAAGCTTACAACGGTAACCTCCCATATGGTACATTTTTATCAAAAGGTATGCAGGTAAATAATCACTTCCTGTTTCAGTCATTTTCTTGTCAATTTTTGTTTTGTTTTAGTGTAAACAAATTAAAGTAATGAAATTTGAAATTTTATATTGTGACGAAGTAAGTATTGTGAGAGATGGTCCAACTACAAAATATCCTCTGTGCCCATTAGAAACATCCCAATGTCTAATAGCGCCAGATAATATTTTGCTACGAGTAGTCTTTGTTATCCATTTAATTCAAGGTTGAATAGATTCTGTTTGAAGGAGTGGTTGACTTTGGTCCAGTGAAGAATTCAGGTTTCTTCCTCATTCATTGACTAGCTCTTCATCCCCTTTCTTCAGTAATGCAGTAGAAATCATATTTCAGCCTCCTTAGTTCCTGCAGATTTAAAACTCCATCATGGAAAGAGAAAGAGATTCCAGGTCACTCGCATCTTCTTTTTTGGTCATAAAATTGGATTTTATATTTTTAATTGTTTAAATTTTTCATTTAAGACATATGTGTACTCAATAATATTCTTTACCAGTTAGAAATTGGACAGATGCGGACAAGTAATGTAGTCTCAGAAAAAAGTAGCTCTTCTCTAATACTTACTTCACTGTCACGTGGAATCGAGTACTACATCTGTGATCGACCCAGCCGGTCCTTCTCTAATAGAAGAAAGGGACTAAGTTCCTCCTTCCAGAAAGAATATGAAGAAAACAATATATGCGGTATATTCTTTGCATAAGGACCATGAAAAGTGTAAGTGGATCCTGTAGGCCTTTTGGCCCATTAAGGCAGTACATACTATATACAGTACAGGCACTCTGTAGACATAGTGTTTATTTGGTTGGTACACATGGAGGCAGTGTGACCAGCACTGCACTCAATCACCCTCACTTTCCACAGTTGTAATTATGAATTCATTCAGTATCTCGCCCCATCTGGCAGCTTGTTTAAGCAAGCTGAAGAACTTGTTCAGTAAAAACTCTAGGATTGCTTGTCTAAAATAAATTCTTATCCCCTGAAACTTGATAAGTACGGTAGTAGAGAATTACGGTCCTGCAACCCAAATATGTGTACTAGATAGACAGGTTACTATTTTTACTTTTACTTTTATCCTTTTCACCACTGATTGGCTCATTAGCTGCTTGGGCAGTCAGTCATGTCTCTGTTACACATTGTTGGCATTTACTGGCTCCAGAGTGTATCTGTACCTGCACCAGTGCCGTTCAAGTCTGTGTCTTGAATAAGGTCACACTTGGTGCCGTCACAACACTCACTGGCAGATTGTTCCAAGAGTTCACAATTATCACTCCGAAAAAGTTTACCCTGACAATTTTTCGAACTTGTGGCGTCTTCAACCTTGAGCTGTGTCCCCTAATGGGGCGGGCATCCGTCAGCTCCATGTATGAACGCTTGACCGAGTAATACCCTCGAGATGTTTATAAACTTCAATTAAGCACCCCTTGCCTGTCTATAGTATGAGCTAAGTAGTTGCAGGCGTTCTAATCTCTCCAGGTAATTTAGGTGCCGTAGTGCAAGCACCAGTTTGGTGCCCCTCCTTTGGACAGTGACCTGTGTAGGATCCCTCCATTGTTCCTGATAATTTTGTCAAGGCCTAAGGCCTTCAGTCTATTTGGAAAATCGAGATGATTAATTCAGGAATCATCTTAGTCGCTCTGTGTTGCACCATTTCTTTGGATGTTAGGTATTTCTGGGGTAGGGATTACATGCAGTAATCCAGACTGTAATGTAAATGAGGTTAATGAAGTTGAAGGAGCATTTTCCTGTCTTTGTATTTGAAGGTTCATTTTATAATTTGAATTTGTCAAGCAGCTTAGAAAAATCCATGTACAGTACAATACATCCACTGGTAAGCCTTCGTCCACCTACTCTGTTACCATTTCGAGGAGTTATGATTTTCCCTGACATGAACCTCCTCTACTATTGCCTTCTCAATCTTCAAGACTAAATGGAGAAAGTTTTCTCCCTCTTGGGTTCTCACACGTGTTATGTGATGAATGATTCTTGAATGGGGTCACTATGATAAATTCTGTGTGACAAACTCCAGGTATGGCAGGGCCAGTAATTGATGGGGTGGGAGAATAAACTCTGATTGAAAGGAGAATATGAAGTGCAGGTTCTTTTTCTTTTATCCTCTTCATTACTGATCTGCTCGTTAACCGCTTGGGCGATCGTTCACGTCTCTGTTACGCACTGTTGGCAAGTACTGAATTTGTCTCTGGACCCAGAGTCTACCACTCATTTAAGTAAGATCTATATTGACTGTAAATGAACTGGATAAGACAGGCTGCTTGTAGTAAAACATTGCCTGGTCATTCTATCAGTTTAGAAGACTTTAGAAGACTTATGGTGGTCATGTTATCTTAAAGGTCATTCTTTAAGGACTCAAGTCGAATTTAAAGTCACAGAAATAATAAGAAATTCACTTCTGAAGGTGGTGTTACTGTACATAACTAACATAACTATATATTCAGCACTCAACTGACAAAAGATTTTGTAATAAACATAAATTGGGGACTGAATTTTTATAAAACTCAGGTACCTGTACTGACAATATTTGACAAATCTGTGTTGTTTGTAGGTGTTGAGTGAGCCTCTCAAATTTACTCATTCAGGTACTGCAGATTCCGTTACAAACCACATGATTCATATATTAGTGAATATGCTTTCCCTTGGTATACTCTGTGATAGAGGTGATACAGATAGTATATGTATACTGTACTCTGTGATAGAGGTAATGCAGATAGTATATGTATACTGTACTCTGTGATAGAGGTAATGCAGATAGTATTGAGAGTGGCTTACAACTCTAATTTTAATTGATGCACAAAATTCTTGAATTTGTCATGAAAGAAAATTCATTTTTGTGACTTGCTCTTACTGTACTGCATCATTAGAGTATAATATTTATACTAAAGGTGCAGAAGTGTACACACAAGTGTGTGACATTCTCTACTTATTATGTCTTGGAAATAAAAAAAATATAAATGTATTAATAGTAACATAATTCCTTTCAAGAGAAGATAAAATCTACTTGTATAGTAGAGTTTTCATGATCACTTAAGTATGCTATCAACTATGAACCCATATTGGCTTTTGTTTATCTCTAGAAGCTGAAGTAACATGATTTTCATGTATAAGGCCAGAACCTAGGATAAGGCACTCATTACCTAGCTCAAGTTGCTGTATTAAGTGACAGCACTTATCTTTTATCTTGTGCAGCACAGTGCTGCTTAACACCCTTAACCATTGTATTCATATCCATGAAAGGGCCCTTACATTCTCCCAGGAATCATTATCTAATTTTAGTACAGTAGCAATTAAGTCATTTTTCTATTTTCTAGCTGTGAGTAGCCATAGCTACTGCGTCAGCTGCCTGATCTTATGTGATACTGCATCTTATCTAAACCAAAGATTCTACAATGTAACGTCTTTCCTCAGTTTGATTCATTCTTTTAGACATTACTGTTAGATACAGGGTATCTCCATTAACCAGTCATTCACCTTTTGTTTTGTTTTTTTATTAAAAATGGTTTTAATGACTGAGTTAAATATTTTGGTTGCCAATACAGTACTGTACATGTACTGTACCTGTACCGTGTTTGATGATATCGATGAAACAATAAAAATTTCTGTGGTCTTTCCCATTTCTTGTGTACTTACATGTGATATTGCATATTTTTATAGGTCCTTTATACAATAAAAACATATAAATTAAGGAATATTTGTTTAATTCTCAGAACTTTACTTGTTGATACTGTACTACAGATTCTATGAAACGAGACAACCTTTGATGATTGTGGCAATGTATTTTACACTTTCGTACATTCTGATAATCTCAGAGGTGTTTTAGGAACAAATTGTCAAAGTTAAAGGTTCATAAGAGCTCAGGCCCTAATAGCATGCATCCCAGAATGGTAGAGAGTTGTGCAATGAGCTTGCTGAGCCCCTTAAGATATTGATATTGAAGCAGAAACAGTTTATTTATCCAGAGAAACACAGGTGAGAGCGAGGAGTTTTTAAAAGCATTTAATGCTTCTACCAATTTGATGTGTCTAGTTATTGAACAAGACGCTAGTTGACACATATTTGCTCATCAGTCCGATATCATTCATGATATAATTATGATGGAATAGGATATTTTAATGGGAACTCGTTTTCAGGTGCATAAGTTAAATTTCACAAATAATTTGCCAGTGTAGTATTAGTTAAAAGTGAACCGTTAGGTAAAAATGATGTGCCAGACGTACGACTCATTCAGACAGCGGCGGACTGTCTCAGCTGTCGGTTGGCGTTGCTCCGCAGTCAGCCTCAGTTGAAGTCAGTTCTACTTTGATGGTGGACATGCATTCCTATGACACGTACGTGCTTAAACGTTTGGTACAGCTTAAATCATATTATTTTAATACCAGAATTGACCAGCACTGGTTCAGTGCGTATCAGAGACGTGACCGACCGCCCAAGCGGCTAATTAGCCGATCAGTGGCGAAGAGGTTAAAAATAAAGTAAGAGTAAAACCATGACTAAGATAAGCCTTCTAATGAGAAGGGTATTTGGGGCACCAGAGGCAGCATATAAATTGTGAACAGGCAGCTACACTCCTCATACTTGATATACATTGTCCATAATAAACCCTGTAACTGATGTGTTTGGGAACTCTAATGTTCAAAGTTATAAGATTGGCAAATTCATTTTCACATATGTTGAGTTGGCAAACTTGTCACTTCGCTGGAGTGCAGTGCTGGTACAGTTATTCATACGTGTCTAGATTCTGGCCATTATAGACAGCACTTCTCTCTACTGCCTTACACTTCTCTTACTGTAAAGCTCGAAGAGAATGTGTCATGGTTGAGGGTTTTAGATATTTGTTGGAATTATATAGGGGATTTGTGCAGTTATAGCTGATTGTTCAATTAATGATTCTGAAACCATTGTCAAGACCAATTTAATAATTTTTGAAGTTGTTAGACATAATTCGGCATCATATTATTCCTAAAATAACATTTTAACTGGTATACTGTAGTGTAGCCGATAGTGTGCGTGCCACTCTCCATTACCTCCTGGGTTCGAGCCCGAGGTCGAGGATAGATAAAGAAAGAAGTTCCCTAATGCATAAACATTTTTAACACAGCTGTATATATATTTATATATGACAGTATGACTAGGTTAAATAAATTCAAAATTATTATAAATAGTCTAGCATAATATATAGGCCATTAAATCACGCTTTAGTCTTAATAATAGAGGGTAAAATGTGATAAAGGTAAAGGAACTGCACCCGCTCAGAAACAGAATATTAGTAAACAAACAAACTTGCCTGGTGGCGCAGCTGTCACCTCTGTCAGTTATGGATTATACACAACCACAGCACCACGTTACCTGTGTGTGGGAAACAGCAGGTGCAGGTATGTGCTTATTTTAATTCTAGTAAATAATTTTCTCAAGTTAATAAAGCAGCAAAGGCCGGTGACCGTCAGTAGTTAAGTAAATATAAGGTATTTTTTAAGAGTTTTGGTAAAACTGCAGTTTTGGACAATACCCCTAGTAGTTGAGCAATGTGTTTTATCCGATTATTTTAAGACACCTTTCTTCCATGATGATTCTGATATATTTAAGTAATTTACGAGGGATACGTTAAAAGAACTGTCTTAAAATTGTCTAAACAATCGGAAAAACACATTGCTCAACTCGAGATCCATATTGTCCGAAACTGCAGTTATACCACAGTTTTATACACTGATTATGCTTTTACTTCTATTCATTTTCTTGTGCAAATGCTTATTTTTCTAGATATAGGCGAGTTAAGATACAGGTTAGGTCAGGTCAGGTTAGGTCAGGTCAGGTCAGGTCAGATTTTCTTAGGTTAGTTAAGCACATGATTTCACCCATTTTAATATTTTTCTCCAACATAATACAGTATTCCCTAATATCAGTGAAAATTGGGGGTGAAATTTCATTCATGCACCGGTCTTTCTTTCGCTGTTATTAATATGCTTCCATTTTGGTTTTCAATGTCATGCAAATATTACCTCCAGGAATTTTGGTTCAGATCCATAAGTTACTTCTGGTGGTAACTGTCTCCTCCACGTTCACCAATAATATTTGAAACTGTTTCATCTTAATTAGTTCTAATACTCGCACAGAATTACTTTCTCTTTAAAAAAGATTGCCATCAAGAATGATATGAATCTGTGATAGTCATCTCAAAGTTTAATGTTTAATTCTTTCACTTCACTTCACTATCAGCACAGCAGGTGTGGGTGGTGTTGAATCATGTTAAATCATTCTATGTATTTCAATGGGAAATTTAAGATACAGTATGGGACTGCAGCCCTAAAACATACACCCAAAATTCCTGAACCCTTAACTGCACATTACAGATCTGTGACTAACTTTGCTGTGCACAAAATATTTTGGTCTTTAAATTTTAAACTTACCTTATAAAACTTTTAACAAGTACTATACAAATTAAAAGGAAAACACTGAAAGGCCCCCCCCACCCCCACCAAGTTTACTGTACCTCGTAATAGTGGGATCACCTGATGAATCTCCACCCTAGTTTATTTCACCTAAAGATTAACCACCCAAATGCTAACCTAACCTCAATCCCACATATAGCATTAAGCAGTGGTGGGCACAGCTAAACGAAAAGTTAGCTTCGCTAACCGCTAATCTGCTAACTAAAAAGTTAACTTCTCTAACGCTAAGCCGCTAAATAGCTAAAAAAAATAGCGGAAGCTAACGCTAACCGCTAACTTTTATTATATGAATTTAGCTTCGTTTTTTTTTGGGGGGGGGCTCTAGAACCCTTAAAAACAGACCTAGAGAGCTGAAATTTTCATATGTTGTCTTGTAGCTTAGACATAGACATACACTTTATAATCTTTATTTACTGTACGAAAAGACAGAAAGTATTAAACGAATCCAAAAACTATAGTACTGTATAGCATAGGTAGCAAATAGCATCATGCCAAGATCAGTTGATGATCAACTTATCAAGGTGTACACTGTACACAATTTCACAAATAATTAAATTGTATTCTCATACAACCTATCGGTTTTATTCATTATGTATGTAAATATGCAAGACCAACCACATACACATTATACCAGTGCATTTTTATATAACTTATTGTTGGTCTTAGTCATTATACCAGTGCATTTTTATATAATTTATTGTTGGTCTTAGTCATGTAAATAAACAGAAAACTCTAAACTTTAATGAAAAGTAAGTTTTTAGAAAATTTTATTTGGCACACACCTTGGATGACATCCTGGTTATGAACTTATGCAGTACTTAGTCAAATATATTGACACAAAAAAATCCTTAATTAAATTAATAAATAAATGAAAAATGAAATTATACATTAGTTTACAATTACATTCTATGATTCTTTCAACATACACTGACAGTCTTTATTTACTGTAAACTGCAGAATTACACAATGCTGCTCAGCTGCTGCAGCGCGGCGTCGACAAATCATGTCTTGTCACGTTTACACGTACTAACACGCAGTCAGCCAAGCGTGCCTGACTGGCTGTTGGAGACACGCGTTGCGGCGTCACACACTTACAACAGACAGGAACAAACATGTATAAATTTTTGTTAGCGGACTTAAAGTTAGCGGAACTAAATTTAGCGGAAGCTAATTGGTCCGCTAATGGTTTCCAAAGGTAGAGAAAACGCTAATCCGCTTACGAGAAAGTTAGCTTCGCTAATTAGTGGTTAGCGGATTAGCGGAAACGTGCCCACCACTGGCATTGAGGTGGTTAATCTTTAGGTGTAATAAGTTGGGGTGGAGATTCTTTATGGGATCTGAGCAAACCAATACCAGTACTGTAATGTACTGTGCAATGTCCCAGTACCTAATGGAAGTTTTTCCTCTATATCAAAGATTATTCCATATTTTTTTTTGGTTCCTTTGATGTGAATTTCCATTACTCAACCTTCTGTACCTTGAGGGATGCCTGTACAGTATTTCACTAACTCACTTTTTATTGTGACAGAGGAAGGCGAGGTCGGGGAAGTAGACCGAGTGGACCGACCAACAAAGATGCCTTAGAGAAACTGTCAAAAGTTCACCCATTTCCTTCACTCATCCTGCAGTGGCCCAAGATAAACTCATTTCTTATCAAGGTAAAACATATAGCTTGCCACGTCCAGTATGTTCACTTTTGTGTTGTTACATGTTTTCCAGAGGGTTGGTTCATGCAGTACCTCTTCTTTAACATATTTATTAGACATCTCTACTTTCTCCTCCATATTTACACCTACAGTATCTTACACACAGACACACCTCATCTGTACACTTCCCTGTATCCAGTACCTTTTAAAAAATTGTCTTCATTTGATGTTACCCTTAGAGGCATAATAACAAATGAACACTCCGGGACACTTACTTTCCTATATGATTGCTGGAGCCTTCGTGGGTGGAGAGAGGCACTGCACTTTGGCTAGTCTGACATGCTTAACATTAAAGTAGAAATATGTACAGTACTGTACAGTATTAAACCAAACTTAATTACACTAAACTTAAATTTACTGTACTTACTGTACTATATAGTACTGTACTGTAGTAACTATATAATCACTACAATCAGTGCTAGATGGAGGGCTGTATTAAGACATGCTGAAGCCCAAAGCTGTGTCAAGATTTAGACGCTCCATACCATAAAAGGATAAAATATATGATAGTGAGAAAGGGTGTACGGTATCACATTGTAACATAAAGGTAAAAAAACTATATGTATATTTTTATAAAACTATGTATTTACATATACTGTACAGTATACATAGGCGAAGATGCAATGAACAACTTATAATTTAAATAATATATACATCTTAGAAAATGCCTTATAGTAGGCTCTCACCAATAACGTTTAATAAGTGCCTGAAAAACACCGTTATTAGCGAAAACGTTATTTGTGTGACATTAAAATACATGTAAAAAGGGTTTATTGGTGCCGCTGCCACAAGAATTTCACCCATTTTTCCCCTTGAAGCCCTCCTAACACTTTTTGTTAGCTGAAATAAAAAGAATTGCTATTCAATCATCAAAATAAAGAGTTTGAGTAATATAACACTTACCGGTAGTTTTTGAGGTGCTTGGTGTGATGATTGTTCCGTATCTGAGGGCCGCTAACACTTGCACTGTCTTTCATTCTACAAGCTAACCATTTCACAAGAAAATGCTCTGTTATCACTAACAACCTGTTTCTATTGCCTTTATCATTCATAGCTCGCCTCGCATGTCCATCACTACCAAAATATTTTTAGCCAGCACAATACAGTACTCTTCTTGGTCTCCTCTAAGTTCCTCTTAATATTTCGCACTGTAGACTCAGGACAGTTCAATTTCCTCACTTTAAAAGTTCCCAGTCATTCAGGTGGCAAATCACTCCCTCCACCACCTCCCCTAGCCCCCACAGGCAAAAATGCGGAAGCCATTATTGATCACCGACCCTAACAACCATTGGTTATAGTGGCGAAAATCTCACACATGGGCGCAGCGCTGTATTTCACTGAGCGTGTGTGACAGTGAGGCGGAGTGGACAACTACGTCATCAACATGGCGGCAAACAAATGCTTTCATTGATGCGCTCGGACGCTTCCCGCGAAATTTCCGTTATTCAAGAGAATCCAGACGTTATTATCGAAAATGGGTATCTATTGTAACTTACCGTTATTGTCGAAAACCTTATTGTAGAAGTCGTTATTGGCGAGAGCCTACTGTATTTGCATTATAAAATACTTTGGTTTCCTAACTAGCAAATATGAAATTGAAGACTTTTAACATAAAACATTGCACAGATCAACCCTTGTATTAGCCCCTGTCTTATAGGCAGAAGTATTTATATAAATGTGGGTTAATTATATTAGACCTGTATAGCTATTACCCCCTGTAACTTTCCACTAGCTATGAGGTTCATCTTCAGAGCACGTGGTAAGGTGTGTCCACGGGAAGTCACGTCACATGGTGCTGGGCTAAGGGCTAAGTATCCGGCTGCCTGGCCACCTATTGCGGGCAGTGGTTTGATAACCTCGACGAGAGGAAGATGTTATTTAGAGCCATCGTTGATGTGCTTTCGTCTTTCCTCGAGGGAGGACGTCGGATATATTTCCGTTCTCCGTCGAGGGTCCCTACTCAATATCACTCCCACTCTCACATCAATCGGACGTATTTTATAAGAGCTACTTTAAGAGAGCCTCCGTCCTCATTTAACACTCATAGCTACAGTGATTAAGTTATGGTGATAATCCCTTTTGAAAGTGTACATAGAAACCTTTTATAATAAATACACAAAAGGAACCTATTGGATTAAGTTACTGAGGACCCAATAAACTTTGATCTATATTTTAGTACGTCTAGAATATAAGGTAACATGTTTCACAAGTGATTGTTACAAGTGGTGACACCCCAAGAAGGTTGTTACATACATGACAGCTTCACAAGTAGTTGTTATACAACAAGTAACAGTCACCCAACAGATACACAATTGGTAAAGGTAGAGATATTATGTTCTCCCCATTACTGTGTTATACTGTTACAAAGAAAATATTGTTACATAGTTGGCAAAGCGTAGCTTAAGAGGACCCAGTCTAGGACCAGTCTAAGGTGACCAGTCTACACTTTACAGTTAGTCAAGTGTACTCCAAGTATACGTGACAATTTTGGTAACAGAAGTTATTCGTCACATAGTTGAGATAATATGTTCTCTGGTTACTCCTACTATTATATAAACAAATCAAACAGTTTCACCCTTAGTAAATGGAAGCAGTAATACAACTGGCACTGTCTCTTCTGTTTGAACATCACATAAAATTTAAAAAAATTTCTTTCATAGTTTCCCAAGAGCAAAGTCTTGGATGAAGTCGTCCAACGATAAGCTACATATTTTTCACTTTCTATTCACATAATGCTTAATGCAGAGAACTTTTATCACAGCATTGTTGTCCATAGTTCATTTTTAATCCTTTTCTGCTACAGAATTTACCTTTCTCCTGAGCAGGTTGTTACTATTAGACTGAAAAGTAGCCACAATATTGCTTCTACATTAGGGAAAGCCAAATGAATCTTATCTTGGAAGATGACTTGATAGAGATCCTAGTGGCATAAATATCCTTTATTAGAATAATTTATCTTGGTATAAACATGAAATTGCTTTACTTCCCCAACAAGGGTAACATCAATATCATCAGGGTAGTCTTTCATCACAAACTTTACACTGTCACACAACTGTTTTTCTAAATCAACTAAAAATTTCTATATTTTTGCAACATTATTGTACGGTATATGACTGTCTTTTTTTCACACTGATTTCAAGGGAATCCATCATGGGAATAAAGTATTTTACTCAAAATTTGTCTCTTGGAGAAAGCCTGTCATCATCATTTGCTGCATCACCATCACTGACTTGTTTTTTCTCACTCTTTTATTCACACTTGTAGTCTACATCAGGCAGGTCTCCTTTTGCTTTGAGTCCAATTTCATCAACACATTCTAGGATTTATTTCAAGAAGTTAGTGAGCAATGTGTAAAGCTTTGTACATGTGCTAAGTCGAATCTGTGGATCCTGTAGGGTTTTGTTGGTTTGTGGAAATGATCTAACCAATGAACATGAACACACATTCCAGTTCCTCAGTTTTCTCAAGAAGAATATCAGCTTTCTTCTTGTTTCACCCTCTTCACAGTCATTAGTATGGACATTGGGAGAAGCATCATTCCAGTACATAATTTAATTTCTGTATAACTCACCTATGGGCTTATGGGTGAAGCAGCCTTTGTATGTGCTTCCCACCTAGTTTAGTGTCAGAAGATGTCAGGATTCAAGAATAATTTGAGTACTGCCCAGGGTTTTGTAGAGGCTGAGAAGAAAGTTTATATTTGTTACACAAAATTTACCGTACTGCATCTAGGCAGCAATCAACTGCCACACAGCTAACATGAGTCAGTGAATGGGTGAATTGAAAAACTAATTAATAAGGTTTCCAAATGATGCTTTAAAATTATAAACATTATTAGACTAAATTTTCTGACCTGCAAATGAAATAAGTTATTTAAGCCAGGGCAATTTGATTCATAAATTTTTTTTTTTACTTACTGTATCTCAAACATATTTATAGGGCCCTCATAATGTGAGGCCCTAAGCTGTAGCTTACTTACCTTGTGCCTAAATCCAGCATTGGCTGGATGCCATTATATTATCTGGCAGTCGTTGAGAGACTGGTGTTGCGCCATGCAGCCAATTACAACTTGGGGAGTTTTACTTCAATGTGGGAATGAACCCCAGTAAACTCAGTGAAATACCTTGGGCTAACTCTTGAATTTCTTCATCTGGAGAATAAATTGTAGATAATATAGTAAGTAAAACTAAGGTTAGGATAAACAATTTATTTATAGAAATGCCATATGTCTCAGCTGATGCCCAGAGCAATCTATGCTTGGCACTCATACAAAGTCACTTAGACTATTCCTGATCATCATTACACGCTGCCTTAACACACAAGCTAAAATTCAAATTAAAAATTATTTAAATCAAGGCAGCGAGGTTTACTCTTGACACGAATGCAAGAGATCACATTGGTCTCAGAGTCTTATAATCACTGAAAATGTTAAGTGTGACAGTTAGAGTGAAGCAACTAAGTCTGAATCACTCTTGTATTATATTCAACAGACTGTGGCCAGACTATTTAACACCAAATTTTGTAAGGATTAGGGATATGAACCGGCAGGGCTCTAGAGGGAGGGAACATAATTTTGTGGTATACAGTACTGTGCTGTACAGTACTGTACCTGGTGTTTGCCGTTAAGCAAAAAACACTTTCTTCTTCACAGCTATAAAAGACTGAAACAAGTTATCAAACTACATCAAAACCAATAATAGTGTAAGATAATTCATAGCTAAAAGTAAAAAATACATAACAGATGAAGCTGTTTCTCTATTAACCACAAAATATTATATTGTTGAAGTGATCTGCCAACCTCAGTTAGTCCAAGTGCAATGTAATACTTGTTAAATTTATCAGAAAACTCTTCACTATTTCTCCTGTAGACATACTATTACTTTTTAGAGACTTAGCCTAAGTAAAGGACCCTACTGTAAATAAGTATCCAATGGCTTTGCCAATTAGTAAGTCTGTGAATCTATCCATTTATCATTAAATCTGTATAACTATTCATATCATCTAACCTTACAGAAGTGAAGAACAAGGGACAGACTGATGGCAGAGGCTACTTCACCACCAACACCAGATGACAGAAGGCTACATCACCAAAACCAGATGCCTGGAGGCTACATTACCACCACCACCACTAGATAACAGAAGGCTACATCACCACCACCACCAGATGACAGGAGGCTACATCACCACCACCACCACCAAATAACAGAAGGCAATATCACCACCACCAGATGAGAGAAGGCTACATCACCACCACCACCAAATAACACTATCACCTACCACCAGATGACAGGAGGCTACATCACCACCACCACCAGATGACAGGGCTAGATGACAGGAGGCTACATCACCACCACCACCACCAGATGACTGAGGCTACATTACCACCACCACCAGATGACAGGAGGCTACATCACCACCACCACCACCAAATAACAGAAGGCAATATCACCACCACCAGATGAGAGAAGGCTACATCACCACCACCACCAGATGACAGAGGCTACATCACCACCACCACCAGATGACAGGAGGCTACATCACCACCACCACCAGATGACAGGAGGCTACATCACCACCACCAGATGACAGGATTACCACACCACCACCAGATGAGGCTACATTACCACCATCAACACCAGATGACATTACCACCACCACCACATCACCACCACCACCAGAAGGCAATATCACCACCAGATGAGAGAGGCTACATCACCACCACCACCAAATAACAGAAGGCAATATCACCACCACCAGATGACAGAGAAGGCTACATCACCACACCATGACAGGGCTACATCACCACCATCACCACCAGATGACAGGAGGCTACACCAGCAGATGACAGGAGGCTACATCACCACCATCAACACCAGATGTCTGAGGCACCACCACCAGATGACAGGAGGCTACATCACCACCAACAACACCAGATGACAGGAGGCTACATCACCACCATCACCACCAGATGACAGGAGGCTACATTACCACCATCAACACCAGGTGACTGAGGTACCACCACCAAATGACAGGAGGCTACATCTCCACCAACAACACCAGATGTCTGAGGCACCACCACCAGATGACAGGAGGCTACATCACCGCCAAGAACACCAGGTGACTGAAGCACCACCGCTACCACCGTCACCAGATGACAGGGGGCACTGTAGTATGTGGTCTACAGAGCTAGAGCGGCCTTAGTATGTGGTCTACCGAGCTGGAGCTGTGTCTACCGGGATATTTACACTAAACCATCCATTAACACAACGTAACATAACATCACCTACGTTAGGCTAGGTTCATGGATGCTACAGTGTAAATATCCTGGTAGACACAACTCCAGCTCGGTAGACCACATACTACAGTAGCACCAACTCTGTAGACCACATACTTCAGTAACTCCAGCTCTGTAGACCACATACTACAGTAGCACCAGCTCTGTAGATCACATACTACAGTAGCTCCAGCTCTGTAAACCACATACTACAGTAGCACCAACTCTGTAGACCACATACTTCAGTAGCTCCAGCTCTATAGACCACATACTTCAGTAGCTCCGTTATTTGTTAAAAAAATATTTTTTTTTCTATATATTAAAATTTCAGTGAATAAACTTTAGATTAATCACCCTAATACAACCTGACCGCAGATTTCTTCTGGCTTCTTGAGTCACCCTCTTAGGTCTATTACATTATGTACTATATAATATTCTTGTATGTGTAGTTCATACCCTAATGTGTACTTTATTGTATTACAAATATTGTTTCTCTTGTTTTATGGTGTAATGTATTAATAAAGCCTCCAAGTGTTCAACTCTAGTATCCATGATGTATTTTTCCTGAACATGTGATAAATTCCCAATAAAGATCAATAAAACTGTTGAAATTGTTCCAGTTTAACCTTACTGAGACGTCATATGTAAATTAATGGACTGACAGCATAAAATAATGACTTGTTAATAATAATAAAAATACGATCGTTTTCAATATTGTAATACTCCTAAAAGCTGTTAATAAATAAAGCACATTATATACACAATAAAACTCTTGTTAAAGCGGCTGATAAGGGCTAAGAATACACACATAACCAAAAATAATACCAATAGGAGTATATGACCACCATGAACAGTAAGCAGTACTCTTAACCTCTGAGCTAATGCGTTCATCTCACTATCACCAACCAACCTAACTACTTCAATACTGTTGTCGGCAGTGAAGGACAGACCAAGACTGTCAAGATATAAACAAATTTAATAGAAAAATTATAAAAATTATGTATGAGGTCAATATTTAATATATTGGCTGCGACTGAACACTGATTAAATATAATAGTTACCCCTGCTCCGTTTTGTGTGATTAAATATAATAGTTACCCCTGCTCCGTTTTCTGTGATTAAATATAATAGTTACCCCAAAAGTACTTCAGTAAGTAGGCTTTAGGGGCACAGGGGGGTCTGATTTTCCTTCTGGGACATTATTTACGTTGTATTATACCCTTAAAGTTAATGAAAAGTGAAATCGGGCCACAAATTTGACGTTTTTACGTATTTTAACGTATATACAGGTTCGAAGCTTCAAATGCTTCAATGAAGCAAAAAAATGATTCAATGAAGCAAAAAAAATGATTCAATGAAGCTTTGTGACGTCACTCTGAACCTTCCTATAAAAGGCCTCGACTAACTCACCTCCGTCTCTTTCCTCACCGACCACTCGCCACTCACTGACTGCAGCTGACAGGCAGGTAAGCACCGCTCCTCTAGTCTCCTTTATATACGTGTACATTTTTTGCCCGACATCCTACAGTCAAAATGGCCAAGAGAAATGGTTATTCTTTTGAGTAGTGTTTAATATACTTAATTATGGCGTAATAAATGCTGATTTAAGTAAAAAACCTGCCGGCCGGTTGTTACAGTTCACTTGCCTCATAGGGTCGTATCCCCAAGTTTCACTGGGCTCTAAGGCCCATGGTACCTACTTTGCAGCTTCAACAAATACATTAATATGGTTTAGTATTATATTAAGTGGCTCTCTAACGTCTAACCAGTAATTTCTTAATGTTTTAGGCAAATATACCGCCAAATGAGTCCTGACAAACGAGCCTAAACTATGAGCCGGTAGTGAGTAACGAGCGTAAACCGTTCATCAGTATTTAGGTAATAATTAACCAGTAAGTGAGTACAATGACCAGATTGGGTTAGATTACGGTTTTATTTAATTTTTATTTATTGCTTCGAAGCCCAACACACTTATGGGGGAGCCGGGTGGTCATAACTCAATAACTACGTAGTTCCCCAAACGTTCATCACCACCACTGTATTCACCATTGAAAACTGCGCCGCATTGACTAGATTTAACAAATATAAGTATTTTTTTGCGGAATTAATATGTATTTTTTAATGGCTAGTTCTTTGGTTACTCTTTAGCTACGATTTCTGGGAGTTGAAACAATTTATTAAGGGTTCTAACCGGGCGAGGCGAGGTAGGGAGCCGGGCGGGGCGAGGCAGGGAGCCGGGCGGGGCGAGGCAGGGAGCCGGGCGAGGCGAGGTAGGGAGCCGGGCGTGGTGAGGTGAGGTAGGGAGCCGGGCGTGGTGAGGTGAGGTAGGGAGCCGGGCGTGGTGAGGTGAGGTGAGCCAGGCGTGGTGGGGTGAGGTGGGGAGCCGGGCGTGGTGAGGTGAGGTGGGGAGCCGGGCGTGGTGGTGAGGCGGGTGGGGGTGAGGTAGGGGAGCCGGGCGTGGTGGGGTGAGGTAGGGGCCGGGCGTGGTGGGTGGGAGTGGGGAGCCGGGCGGGGTGATGGGTGGGGAGCCGGGCGTGGTGGTGGTGGGGAGCCGGGTGGTGGGAGGTGGTGGTGGGGGGGAGGGGAGCCAGGTGGGGTGAGGTGGGGGCCGGGCGTGGTGAGGTGAGGGGGAGTGGCGGGCCCTGAGGAGGTGGGAGCCAAGAGTGGGGTGAGGGTGGGGAGCCCCGGGCAGGGTGAGGGTGGGAATCCAGGGGTGAGGAGCCTGGCGAGGTGGGAATCAGGGGCAGGGGCAGCCAGGCCGGGCGAGGGGGCGAGGCGAGGCGAGGTAGGGAGCCGGGCAAGGTGAGGTGAGGTGAGGTGAGGTAGGGAGCCGGGCGGGGCTGGGCTAGGCTAGGCTAGGCTAGGCGAGACGTTTCAGAATACAGTATATATTAAATCCCGTAACATTAAGGTTCCTGGTAATTTTTTAAGTGGACAACCATGGATTTTACAATCGGAAAAACCCATTGGTCAACAACCAAAAAGCACCATAACTAACCTAACAACGTAACGTAACCTGGAGGTTCCTTGGTTGTCTCCTGGTGAAAAAGGTCCATTTGTATGTGCACACAACAATTAGAAAGTAAAACAAAATATTTTTAGCGTATTTGTGTTTAGATCGGTTATGACCTCCATTTCCGTCGGAAATTGGTCGTTTTTTATAATTTTTTTGGTGAGGTGTTTCCCGAAAAAAATATTGGCTCGGCGAATGAAAAATGCAAAAAAAAAAAACCCTATAAAAACATAAACCGGACCTAATCTAACCGACTCTCGCCATATGTTGGAATCCCTTATTTCTTACCTTATTGGCCTGGTTCTCGTTGGAGTTACCACATGTTGGTCTTGGCGACACTTACATTCGTTCTTGCATTAATGACACTTTACGGAGGTCGGGACAACACCATGAGATCTAAAAATGCTATAGTTTTAGTGTGGAGGTAATGGTTTATGTAAACAGTTGGGGACTGTGAGTACACGTGGTGTAGTGGTAGATGGAAGTTGCAAGTTTAATTTTCATTCTACGTAAATTACAACTTTAAGCATGTTGCAGGTGACAGCTGGTGTACTTGAAGGCCAATGGAGAAGTGACAGAACCTTGAGCAAGACTTAACACCCAGCATGTTACTTCAGCCTCATCAGTTAAGTTAGTTATATATTATCTTAGCTATTATGGTCAGCCCATAAACCACTCAACACTGTGCTCCTACACTGGGCAGTGGAGGGTGTGTGTGTGGGACCTGGCTGACTGTGAATGTTGGAGGGCTCTGGAGGACTGTGTGTGTGTTGGAGGGCTCTGGAGAAGTGTGTGTGTGTGTGTGAGACTGACTGTGTGACTGACTGTGTGTGTGTTGGAGGACTGTGTGTGTGTGAGTGAGTGTTTTGGAGGTCTGTGTGTGTGTGAGTGTTTTGGAGGACTGTGTGTGTTTTGGAGGAGTGTGTGTGTGTTGGAGGACTGTGTGTGTGGGGGTTGGTGGGGGTGTGTGTGTGTTGGAGGACTGTGTGTGTGTGTTGGAGGACTGTGTGTGTGTGTTGGAGGACTGTGTGTGTGTGTTGGAGGACTGTGTGTGTGCGCGTTGGAGGAATGTGTGTGTGTTGGAGGGCTCGGTATTATTGCAGTTTCGGCCAGTACACGCCTGACTTTTAACCATCCCCAACCTTTAGATCTCCTTATTGGAGTATTTCTAACACCATTTTAACCAGGGAGCAAAGAATGTCAGAAAGGAGTTTTAAAGATTTCCATGCTTTTTTTTTGGGGGGGGGGATATAATTCTAAAGAGGGTGCTTTCCCCTGGAAATTAAGGCCACATTTCATTGAATCGACCCAAAATACACAGGATAAACGAATTTCTAAACTACGAGGGCATATTCGACGAAACTGCAATTTTACAATGGGCTCTGGAGAGCTGTTTGGACTGTCTAGATAAACTGAGCTGGGAGTCAAATTAAGATTAGCTGTAGAGATTTGGGAAAGCTTAATAAAGTGCTATAAAAATGTACAGGACTAAATGCCATTTAGTTACAGTATTAGTGAGCATTAGTACGTAGTAGTAATGTGATTAATAGTAAGTAAAGCTGGTTGTTAGTAGGTGGGTTTTAACTAACAAATTAACTAACCTAATCAGCCTAACAGATTAAATGTAACTAATCAAGACTAACCCAAATTAATATTAAGTTACCTATTATATAGTTTATATATTGGATAACAAATATATTAAAGAACATAACTTAAAATTTGCCACAAGTTAACTGATCATGAATTCAGAAAGTTAAGCTAGAAAAAATTTCACTTGTTTAAATTATTAAAAATCAATAGCTTGCGTACTTTGCAGTTTCCTTTTCAAAATCTAATCGTGTACTGACTTTCTCCTCAGGTTAAGCTGGCCAGAAGTAACATCATACTGAACCTAAGGAGAAATAACTTAAAATGCCAGAACAGGTAAAGTCAACTTACTGAGTTTTATTTAGGCAAGGGAAGCTTGTGGGACTTGTGAAATCATTAAACATTGTGTGGCTTGTTGTAATTAGGGTAGGGGGGACTAGATGGCTTGTGTATTGGCATATGGGGTGAGCAGGTGTGTTGGTAAAGTTTTTCATTCAAGCTAAATGTGACAAAGTTGTCAAGGGGAACACCTAAGGGGGCTTGAGGGGTGGGAGGAAGGGAGGGTTCAGTAAGTGAACTGTGGTAAACTGTTGTGTATGAAGCAGTGTGGAGAGATTTAGTAGTGTAGCAGTATTGGTGATGAAGGCTTGTTATGATTGGCTATACTATTGTTGTGGTAAATGTTAGTTGTTGAGGTATTCAGAAAACTAAAACACTAATGCAACTTAAAATAAGATCTTTTGTAGATAAGGTATTTAAGTAAACAATTGGGGACAGTATAAGTACATGTAGTCTGGTGGTAGATGGAAATTGTATGTTTAATCTTCATTGTACATAAATTACAACTTTAAACACGTTGCAGGTGACAGCTGACATCCGTGAATGCCAATGTAGAGGAAGTGACCGACACCTTGAGCAAGATGTAACACCCAGCATGTTACTTCAGCCTTCTTAGGTAAGTTACTTATGTATCTTAGTATAACCATCCCCAAAAACTACTGGAAGTAAGACTCGAGAGGAGGGACTTACTTTGTGTGAAGGGTTGGAAAGGAGGAGCATTGGGCGGTGGAGGGGCGCTCGTACAGTGGGGCTGGGTGCGCTCGTACAGTGGGGGTCGCTCGTACAGTGGGGCTGGGTGTGCTCGTACAGTGGGGGGGGCGCTCGTCCAGTGGGGGTGGGGGCGCTCGTGCATGGATGGTGGTGTGCTCAAGCTATGGTGAATGGAGTGCATGTTAAAAATGTGTTGCAAAAAATAGCATGTACTATGAAGGTATGTGGGGGATGATGCCTTTGAGAAGACTGCTGCAGCCAAAACTGGAGGAAGGACAATGCTCCTGTGTAAGGTGATATAGGAGGGTGTTTGAGTGTATGGATATATCACATATATATAAGAATGCAAGTTTAGATTCCAAGAAATTCTGGAGTAAATGTTGTGTATTGGTAGTAATACATTAAGGTTGAACTAAATCCAAATCATGTTGCAGGTGGTTGGTGTACAAGATAGATGGACCAGACACAACAAGGTGACCACGACTGTCTAGCATCCCACACCTTGATGACTACCACCTTACTAAGAAAGAACAGAATTGGTGTTCTGTACACTACTGTAAGAATAGAGTAATGTGAAAGTTAAGTATTACTAAAACCTTTTTTATATAATTTAGCTAAACTTGATATATTACTTAAAATAGTGCATTTAAGAACATACAGTACAAGTAAACCTCAATATTGTGTATTGGTAGTGATATAAAATAGCTTAATTAATTCAGATGTAGAGTATCTAAAAACAAATATAATCATGCTGCAGGTGGTTGGTGTACAAGATAGAAGGACCAGACACAACAAGGTGACCACGACTGTCTAGCATCCCACACCCTGATGACTTCCACCTTACTAAGAAAGAACAGAATTGGTGTTCTGTACACTACTGCAAGAATAGTGTACTGTAATGTAAAAGTTAAGTATTACTGAAACCTTTTTTTATATAATTTAGCAAAACTTGATATATTACTTCAAATGGTGCATTTAAGAACATACAGTACAAGTAAACCTCAATATTGTGTATTGATAGGGATATAAAATAGCTTAATTAATTCAGACGTAGAGTATCTAAAAACAAATATCATGCTGCAGGTGGTTGGTGTACAAGATAGATGGACCAGATACAACAAGGTGACCACGACTGTCTAGCATCCCACACCTTGATGACTACCACCTTACTAAGAAAGAACAGAATTGGTGTTCTGTACACTACTGCAAGAATAGTGTACTGTAATGTAAAAGTTAAGTATTACTGAAACCTTTTTTTATATAATTTAGCAAAACTTGATATATTACTTCAAATGGTGCATTTAAGAACATACAGTACAAGTAAACCTCAATATTGTGTATTGATAGGGATATAAAATAGCTTAATTAATTCAGATGTAGAGTATCTAAAAACAAATATCATGCTGCAGGTGGTTGGTGTACAAGATAGATGGACCAGACACAACAAGGTGACCACAACTGTCCAGCATCCCACACCCTGATGACTACCACCTTACTAAGAAAGAACAGAATTGGTGTTCTGTACACTACTGTAAGAATAGTGTAATGTGAAAGTTAAGTATTCCCGAAATATTTTTTTTATAATTTAGCAAAACTTGAGAAAATATTTGAAGTACTGTACTAATGCATTCAAGACTGTAGGAGTGAACCTTGATTAAAGCCACACAAAGCATTAAAAATAGCAAGATACATTATGTACAGTAGCATTATTAACTATCGTGGTAGTCACAGTTTTGTTGTGGTTGCAAAAAATTTCCATTTTATAATATATTTTTCGTCCACAGGTGAAGTATCAGCAAGGTGTACAACGAGATACACGGACATCAATCAAACGGATTGTGAGCGGTTTGAATATCTCGCACGGATCCATTTATCTTAGTGGTTTGTAAAATTAAGTGTAATATGTAATTGTTGTTCAGTGTGGGGAGGCCTCTGGTGGCGTGTTGAGGGATGGCATTTGTACCGGGGGACCGGGGAGGCGTTTGTACCGGGGGAGGCGTTTGTACCGGGGAGGCGTTTGTACCGGGGAGGCGTTTGTACCGGGGAGGCGTTTGTACCGGGGAGGCGTTTGTATTTGTAGTAGGTAGTGGTAGAGGCACTTGCACTGGTAGAGGAACTTGCACTGGGTAGGTGTTTGTAATGGTTTGTACTCCTACAATGTCTGTGTATAAATAAATAAATAAATAAATAAATATTGAATAAACTTTACGTTTCATATTCCGAAGTTGAATGATAATGATCTAAATAAACCACAAGTACAGTAGAACTGTAAACTATACCTGAAACATGAACTAAAGTGATCAACTTGGATACACCCACATGATGGCTTCTGGGTAACTTAGAACATGATATATACATTAATTACATATAATTATCACCAATTGACATCAAAGTGCCATTCATTGTACGTATAACTGTTACAAACCAATGCCCATGTGATGCCCTATTGGGTACATGTAATCAAAACTACTAGATACCCACAGATGGCACAAATAATGCATTTAAGTTACAGACGCCTCGGACAAAGGATTTTGACAACCTTACCGAGAGAACGGGCGTCTCGTGTTCATTTTGAAATTCATCGGCCATGACAGTAAAGAACATTTTTGATTGCATACACACTATTAATTTGAAAGTATTGTATATATACAGTAAATGAAAGTAAAGTATAGTAAGAATTTTACTTACTAAATGTTGACAATCTGGACACTGCACACCAATTGCTGAATGGAAGTGTTTTACCTGAAAATATAGAAGAAAAAAATCTTGTAAAATTGTAAAAAACAACTTATGAACCCCCCTCCCCCCACCCAACCCCCACCCCCCTAAAGACTTGGTCCCCTGGATAAATTTAGAAATATATCTACTGTGCCTGGCCAAAATTATTCACAAAGTACAACACTTCCATTATTATCTAAAGCTAAATTCTGTGTAGGACCAAAACCTGACAAAAGATACTTTATAAAACCTTAAGGTCTAGTGAAATAAACTCACCTTATGTGGAGTTTGCAATATAAAGGTTGAATTGAGAAATCCACAACAGCTGGTAATGTGACGGCCCCGCCATCACTGATGTATCTGCCGAGAAAAAATAATGGTAGTGGTACTGTAATGTGATTATTTCTCGGGACACGGAGAAAGATATCTAGTGATGTTGCCAATCATTACAAGTTTTCTCTGATTTTCTTATGTGCTAATATTTGGTAATGTAGGTTTGAGAGAACATAAGACTGCAGGAATGGCCAGTAAATTGATATATACTGTACCTAGACAGTGCAGGTATAAAGCGAGGCTATATGACCAATGATATTTCTGTATCAACTTCTGGACTGTTACTGTATATTGCAATAAATGTGAAGTGTATACATAAGAAAATAAAAAATATACTGTATATTCAATTCTTTATTTTGTATTACCTATCTACAAAGATATAAAAACATATTACACAATGTACAGTACATATGTAATTTTTTCTCTGTTGCTGACAGAAGATATTACCTTTTTCAGAGCAATTTATAATGTAAGTTTGTTAAGTGGCGATGGTAGATTCAACACTGCAGTAGCCCTCCTCCTTTATCCGGGCTTGGGACCGGCATGTTCGGCTGAACAAGGCGGAGTTACTACTGTGTATTCTACGTCTAACTACGGTGCTGTTAGTACTATCAACTATAACTTGAAAAACTTTACCTTTATTACCTCCAAGAAGCCCCTTGTAGGTCCACAGTCAGCCACATAAACAAACCTGGAATACAAGAAATTTAAAACATAACATTCATAAATACTTGCATATAGTCATTATATATTGTCATAAGTACTTTACCTGTTTGGAGGAGTTCTCGACCAGTCAGACGTTCACCTCGGAGGCGCACAATCTGAAAGAAATGAGAAAACCTTAGTCCCATCCACACACATTAAGGTGGGAGGTTGGGTGTGTGAGAGAGGGTGAGTGTATGGATGGGAGTGAGGGTGTGTGTATGGGAGGACCTCCCACACACACACACCCTCACTCCCATCCATACACTCACCCTCTCTCACACCTTTCCTTATACCCAACACTCCCAAACACCCCACCCACCAACCCAACCCTCCCTCCCTCCCACCCCCCCTCCCTCCCACCCAACCCTCCTCCTACACCACCTCCCCTCCAACCCAACTCACCTACCTACCCATCCCACCTCCCTTCCCATCCACCCAACCTTTTGGTTGTGTGGATGGAAGGTAGTGTTTGTGGATGGGAGGATGTGGATGGGAGGAAGAGGGTGTAGATGGGAGGAAGAGGGTGTGGATGGGAGGAAGAGGGAGTGGTTAGGAGGAAGTGTGTGTGGTTGGGAAGGAGGGAGCCGTGTGCCATACCCTCCTCCATGTAAACACAGCAGCAAAAAATATTGTGAAGAAAATTGGTTTGTATTGGTGTAATATTGTGTTGTGAGGACTCATTTGTGTTACTATGAATGATAAGTGTGCAGGGATTATGGTGTTGTGAGAGAGAGAGAGAGCCTTATAATAGTTGTGAGGACCAGGTATAGAGACTTGCTGTGTGGGGGGAGGTGTAACAGGTAGCCAGGGCTTATAGCACTATTTTACCCTCAGTTATATATCATATTATTGTATGGCAATAATTATTATTCAATATATTTATGAATGGTTTTACTGTATAAATTTGTTTCAATTTACTAATATTACCTTTATAACTTAAATAACTAACAAATTATAAATATAATATAATATCTTGAAGGTTCTAAGGTTCTTGTGGCCACAGAATATACTACATATTATTTTATTGATAACTTTAAACAATCGACCAAGTAGAGATAGGAACACGTAAAATTAATGATAAGGAAGATAAAACATGATTAAATTATAAATCAATTTATTAAGAAAACCAACAGCTCAATGTTTAACGGTTATGATACAGTTTAGGTATCAGGTATAGACTAAAAAATGTTTATCTACCCTAACCCAACCCAACCTACATCATCATATGTCCAAAAGAGAAGTGGGACATCTTGGAGTATCACAAGATAATTAAGGGAGATAATGATCAAGCATTTAACATTTAAGTTATTATGTAATGACTAGTGTAATAATGCCCACAGCCATCCTGTCCACAATCCCATTAAAATCGCAGTAAAATCATAGACAATCTCCGCAGCTAACGGTCAAATACCCTTTGGATATTTGCCCAGCCAGCACAGTCAAACAACACCTTCATAACTTGTACTGAGCCATTATTGGGGAGTAGTGGTGGAGTCACTTAGTACCAGAGTACTGTGTTTATATTTGATTCATATTATCCACAGTTGTTCTGTGGATGATGTAGTATTAATGGTAAAATTTCACTTGTTACCACCAAACATTTGGAAGTTGAAATTATGCTTGATGTATGTAAAATGTTATATAGATTTGATTCTATTGTTTGCAATTTTTTGGTACAAATATATAATTAAAAAGTTTTGATTTTAGGGAAAAATTTGACATTTCCTTTGAACATATAGGACAAGAGTGTACAGTGTATGTAATTAATTTGTATTAGTATATATGTATACTGTATTAAATGCACTAGTGTCGAATATATAACCTAATCTAAACCATCCTAACCTAACCCATGGGCTATACCAAGATCTGATTGGTTAACAAACCAGCTACTAAAATGTAAAATATCTCACTTATACAGTACTTAATTAGTGACAGTAATGCCATAGAAGAAAAGTGTTTTAGAATGATCAAAACTACTGATTGCAGCCATAAAATTATCAAAAAAATTTGGGTGGCAACAAATGACATAATATCATATTAACTAATAAAAATTAACAAAGCTTTATATTTTAATTATAAATACCAGTATTTTTTATCTCTTCTCTATGAACATAAATCACCTATGATGGGCAGGGCATGAAAGATGACGGAGAGTACGGGGTAAAGCACGGTGAAGAACTGATCATGTGACACTAAAATGATGTCTCCAAGTTCTTTGACACAGAGAAATTAACTACTTACAGTAAACAATCTACCAAAAAATATGACGTGGCAGCCCGTGTTGCTGTCCACTCTTAAACCAATAAACACTGACTCCGGTAAAACTGTACTTAACTTGTAAATAAATGACAGAGCCTCACATTGGTGGTTTTATTACCATAAATATAAAATTTATTGTCTTTTTTTCTTTTAGGCTTTACTATCCAGATTCATGAGTCTATTATCTCCACAAATCCCTTATTTATTTTTTTGTTTGGTTAAGTAGGATCTTAAACCTATTCTATGCACATTATAAATTATGAGAATTATATTGTTGGAATCAAATCCCATAATATGAGTTTAAATACATTTCCAATTTCTTTTGAGTAGTATTGATTAATGAGTGAGACTTATGTTCTTATATTTCATTTTCCCTCCCTAGTTATGACTTCTTGTTGGCGTTGCTGTTTATCAAATCGTAAATTATCTGCAAGACCCATTGTCAGATTTATAGCCGAGTGGTGGGGCCTGTTCAACGACCAAGAGGGCCAAGATTATTTATTAACGACTGCCATATATGACATTATTGGTTGTAATTTCTATAATGAAACCATTTGGAAATAAAACGAATTATACCATAGAACACTAACTTTATTTATGACAATTAATGAGTCAGCTCACAACATTTTATGTATACTGTATATGAACTAATAAATTATTAAACTACACACACATATATGTAATGATAGTTTAAGTATATAACATAGACAGGAAAGAATTATATAAACTGAAGTACAGCTGCGATTAACTGAATGTAAATTAATTTTTCTCAAATAACCAACAAAACAATAATGAAAACTGATATTGTTTATAAAAAAATTGACATACAGAGAAATAATGAGAAAATATTCCTTCCATTAATAACATCTATATCCACAGTACTGTACTGTACTCATTATGTGATATTGATAATTAACTCAATACAATTTAATTTTCCTGCATTTTCCTCCAAGTTCAATTTCTGTGTAAGGTCTGCCCAAAATACAGTCAAGACCAGCTTACTTTTTCTACGGTGAGTCATTGAACGCCTATATTGTGTAAGCATGTGACAGTTGAGAAGGAGTGTTCACATATTGCAGTGCTTGTACCAAATGTGAGGGCAGCTGCATAAAGCTTGTGTATGTGAGTTAATCCATTTCAGAAAGGATATGATATCTTGAAATTTTCACCAATGTTTTTGAGAACTGGGCAATAAAATTCTTCGAAAAGTCACTTAGGTAACATGACATTCACTTACCAGAAGAGACGACTCAGTGTCGACACCCATGAGTTTAGCCAATGGGACAAGATTTTCCGGAATTAATAAACAATTCTTGGATTCTGGCCAACGACTAGAAATGACTGTAAGTAGTCAAATATTATGCTCACCAAACCCAGCATTGAGTTCACCAAGGCAGTTATCTAAAATATTGTAGTACAGTTGATGTAAATCAGCTTCACTATCAAAACCATGAACATTAGTATGTCTTACAGTTGTTTCAGTCACTGTTAAGTATTAGAGCAGTTTGTGTTTATGCCAACAGACCCAAAGGCAGTCCTGATGGATCAAGTTTCCAATCTAGATCATTGGAACAATTCATTGGTAGGGGTAACCACCCTATGGCAGTTCCCAGCAATATAAAAACATTTTCACTCTCCAAATTTTTTTTACAGCTTATTGAGATAGAATATATTCAAAACTTAGGAAATGACTTTGTTGATAAGTCTTGTTTCCATATGAATTAAGACCGTCAGATATTTACAAATGTGATCATGAACAACAGCCATGCATCAGCCAACACAGTCCCACCAATACTGGAGTCTCGAGTACAGCAGACAGTGTTTTAGAGAAGAAACAACAGCATATACTTATAGAAAACCTCTACAAGTAGATGGTGCCTGTACTGTATGGATAGAGATAACACCAGAGAGAGAAATAAGGAAGGTTTACATCTGTATTCCTTTACTTTGATGGAGACAAACTGGGTCATGATACAAAAGGAAGTGGCTACTTAACCAGGAGTTCCTGGCTGGTCACACTGGAGGTTATGTGAGAGGGTTATGCCTCCCAGTCACTGCTGACTTCTTAGAAGTGCCACACAGTCCTCGGCCTCCCTCACCTTCGGTGACTGGGGACAGGCTAAACAACTTAGCAATGTTTAATGTCATCAATGACGGCCCCGTTAAGGTGTGGGGAGCTATTTCCCACGCCAAAGTATGACATATGAACAAGATTGATATTAAAGAACTCATAGAAGAAGAAATAGACGCGCAGAGAGAAATTAAGAGACCCGACGGAAAATCCACCTCGGCTCTAGTTGGATTTTTCCACAAACTTCCAGAGACGGTCACACTGGGATGGGACACCGTCTGAGTGAGATCTTACGTGCCATGACAGACCAGATGCTTCAAGTGTCAGCGGTACAGTCACCCACCCAAAAAATGCAAGGCCCCAGAAGATGTGTGCTACAGATGTGTGTCTTCTGGACACCAGCATGATGACTGTAAGATCAAGAACAAGAAATGCACTGCCTGTGGTGGTCCTCACTAATTCTCTGACCAGGGGGGGTCCCAAATGGAGGGAAGAGTGAAGGTGAAGCACACCAAGAACCTCTCCTACAAGGATGTACTCCTCTTGTGAGGGAAATTAGGCAACGAAGACCAAGGAGAACCTGAAAATCCTAAAGAACAAGAAGGAACAGACCAAGGAGAACCATAAGATAACTCAGAGCAAGAAACACAAGATGTAGCAGGAAATGAAAAAACAAGAAGAACATCAAGAAAATGAGGAAGAAAAAGGATGGAAAGACATCAAAAAGAAGAGAAACAAAAGGAAGAGGCTACAGTGAACCAGACAACATTACCATCAGCCAGTACAGCTCCTCCCCGACTTACAACGGGGTTAGGGACCCAAATCCAGGTCGTAAGTCGAAATGGTCGTAAGTAAAAAATGCTTAAATAATACATAGAAAATCTAAAATGGGTGTCTCTTTTTCTTCTCAGCACCACAAA